GTAGGATTTATTGTGAACTATTTGAGTTTTGTCGTCGTTAAAATTCAAGATTATTCTGATAAATTTCTGTTTGGAAATTAGGTTTTATGATGGCGATGATTCAGTATTGTTAGCCACCTTTTCTAAAATATAATTAACGCATAAACGTAAGTAGGTATTCTCTCAAAAGATTTATTATTAGCAAAGAGTGATCTATTTTATTATGACTATTAACTACATTGAAACATGGGATTTAAACACAGTAAAGGATAATATTATTTTATTCATAATGTGTAATGAAGCCTGTTTAGGAGGTTTTTTTTCTGTTCTCACTGACTAAATCATACTTGTGTTTTACTACTTGAAACAGATCTAAATTAAATATTCTATTGTTATTATAGTTTATAGTAATTTAGTGAATTGATAACTGAACGATAAAACCAGAAACGATTCGCCGATTGTATGAATCGCATATATAGTTCTGTATCGGTGAATATTTCTTCTGATATAAAGAATGCTTGTGTTCAAAATTTCTATGAATGATGTTCTGAAGTTCATTCCTGTTAACTTCATGAACAGACAATTTTCATACTGTAGATATTTTGTTAGCTCTAGAATCGAGGCAGGTCCTAACACTGCTAGCCTAATTCAGTTTGTGTATCCGATGTTTAAGGGCTTTTTCGTAATACAAACACCATGCTTATATCATCCACCGACCTCTACTAACGACCAAGTAATTTGACATCTTATAAGTACTTAACCTACGTACACTTACGTGGTGGGTACAAAACCCATTGACTATTTGACCCTGTTTTGATTAGATGACTACATTTCTAGACTTCTGTAGTACGCTCCGTAAAACCTAACAACCTGTAGGGTAGCGTTAAATTATTTTTAAATGCCGCAGATTCAGATTTTGAACTCATTTATAAGTTCTGAGTTTTGATTTTAATAACTCTTAGGAGTCAGTAGACATACTTTAACTCTTAGTAATTCCTTTAATATAGGAATCTGTTGATTGTTTAAAGATCCCCATCATATTAAAAGACTGATATTTGAACGAAGAATATTCGAAATGCGTTTGTCAAATCTCAGGTCATAAAATCCCATTTCATGATTGCAGTGTGTTATTTATTATCACTTTCAACTATATTGTACTAGTATTGTTATTATTCATGTTTTATTACTTTTTTTGAAGACACCACACATATAAATATATGGATAAAAAATTGGAACTGACTGAACATGGGCCTTCATTCGATTTACGTTGTAAGTATGATACATTGCATGATTTTTTGATACAGAGGAAAGATTAAAGAATGTGATAAATAATGTCTATATCGGGCTGTTGAAATAATAGAAAGAACGTCGTTTGATAGATTCTTTACGATATGTTAACTGTTCATGAGTCCAAATTCTTGATGCAAGTCTCTTTATACACTGAAATCATATCAGTATGATAGATCTTTTTTCAATGGTAAAATGTTATCATTGTATATAAAATATTCAACACTTAGATATGCATGATTAGATATGACTCGACAAACAAACAGTTAAGAAGATATGAGCTTTGTGCTTCACTCGCTATTTGATCTTGCTGCCGAACCTGATTCGTTTCTGATATGCAGTTTTTTCTGTGCTTCAATCCTTCCCTAGAAATGTATCGCTTCCATTCAGTACATATCATAGTTTGCACTCATTTGATTAACTAATCAAGGAAATAATAGAAACATAAACACATTATTCATCATCCTGAAAGTTCATATATGCCCTTAGTATTCAAGTGTGAAGCCACAAAAATGTCAAATAACTACTACTAGTTCATAGAAATTGAGTTGCTGTGATCATCGTTCAAATGTATGAACATCACAACTTTAATGACTCTGTGTGAAGTGAACAATGATAAGCAGTTTGAAAAAGTATCACCCTATATAGGAGGCGATAGAGTGAAGTTAGGGTTAACTTAAGCCGTTTTTATTTGTTCGATCTTACACAATGTAATAGTTCTCAGAATATCGTTCTGTTTCTGAAATTTAATAATAACTTCTATTGTCATAATGATTTTAAGTAAAGTTGTGTTTTTCTTAATATTCAGTTGATATAATTAATGAGAATGAACCGTAAACTTAATGCACATTGTTCAATTACGATAGTATGTGCTTTGTATGCAGTTTTAATTTCCAACAAATGCCGCTCATTTAGTGCTGACTTTACCTTTTTTCGATAAACTAATCGGCTTGTTTCTGGGAAATCCTGACTAGTTGTTGCTGGTTTGTTTTCATAAACAAGATTACTGTTTTATGTTCTAAGAAAAAGCATTTATATTAAGATGAGCTTGTGCAATAATTCACAATCTTATCGTTACTTTTGTTCCTTACTCAGGTTTTATCGAATACATTTATATTCAATAATTTAAGTTATTCAACTTCATGTGCGTTATGCTTTTATTTTACTTACAGTGTATAAAATTTGGCGTGGACCGTTACATGAAGAAGCCACAGCAGATATTGAATGGGTTTATCGACCGTATATGAATACCACTTTTAAAAGACGATTTTTATCAGAACCGCCATCTCCTTGAATCTTATTATATTGTAAATAAAATCGAACTTGACGAGGACTTGTTTTATATGTATTTGAACACTAGCCATATCTATGTTACACGCGTGTTCTTTCTTGTAAAACAACATGCTCTTCACCTGAATACATGGTTACTAAACTGTTCGACAGTCCACCCTGTATTACCCTTCGAGCATAAAGCATGGATGATAGATGTTCACGGATCAGAAGTTAGAGATAGGGAGTTCAAGGAATTTTGCTACGAATGTTTGGATATAGAGTGAACTTTGTGCTAGCAATATTTATCTCTATGAGATCACTATTTTGAGTGGTGCTTATGCTGTGATATCCAGATCTCAGACGATTTAATATCGAAAATCGAGTTATCGTATCTTTTTAGCACTTTGATTTGGTTGTTCATAAATCGTATTTACAAATGTCATACTTTCCGCTGGTGATTACCGGTTGCACTATTAATCTTCAGCCTTTCTCGACTATGTCCTGTACCATTGTGGTGTTGTTTAGTAGTTTATCTGGTACTCTTTGGTAAAATATTCTGACGTAGAGATTTGTGGATGAGGTATAATATCGCTTGTGTGGAAGTATGCGTAATCAAGTTCTCCCATTTTCGAAGGAAGACGTGTTGCATCCGTATTATCTTGGTACGGAGGTTTGGGGTATAATGTTTGCCAGCTATTGTTATACAAGACATCTTCAGTAAATACTAAGATAAAGGGATCTGTTGGCATTCCTCAACTGACGAGCAGCTTCGGTCGACCTAGGACTGACTGTCAATGCGTAGCCGTTGTTCAATATTTAGCCTAGTATTTTACCCGCTCTCTTGCCAGTTGATAGGTTGAGCCGATTTCGATTTACATAATCATTGCGGTACTAGGCTCTTGAGACGGGTTGCGTTTTTATTTTGATGTTTTCCCGGTCGAAGTCGTGCCCATAGTTGAGCACATACATTGAAAAAGATCAATCTCCAGTGTTCACTCTACAGCTGGCCTATGTTCATGTAGACCGAGAGTGCGACCACTTTGTTTTAATAGAACAACGCAAATGTCGCGGACTATACTCCCTCAAAACAAACTGTACAGCTTGGTTTTTCCTTTATTTTTATTTAAATCCAGCACAATTTCTCAATAGGAACTACGTCAGACATTTTTAGAAATAATATTGGTTGGATAACTTTCGAAATAGTCGACTGCTGTTCTTATACATATGCATCTTATCATAAATATGGGTTTCATTCCCATCCTTACAGAGCACACTATCACTAGAAGTAATAGGGTTATAAAATATATTTAGTGAACATCATATTATGTGTCTAAGATCAATTGCATATGCAGTCGAGTATTTCAAATACTCTAGATAATGGAGAAATTTTGAAAGAGCAAATCTAAAGAAAGGTTGTTAAACGCAGGGTGGATTTTGCGTTGTCAAATTTCTGCTCCTGGTAACCTTGTGTTAAAACATTTGCACTTGTGGTGATGCTAACTACCCTATGATAGTTGATGATTTCAACGTGCCACTTAACAAGTGATTAAAATCTTCAAATTGAATTGCACATCCGAATTACATTCTATCTTTAACTAAACTTTGGTGCTCAGACTGAGATCGGAAAATTGACTTAGTTTTACAAAATGCATGAGCCACCACTGTGAAACAATTTTTTCACTTATTTCTGGTTATATAGTGATAACGCTGAGTTACATATCGGATTTAGTGTAAATAGTGTTATTATTCAGGAAACCATTCCATAATTTTACGGTAGTCGAAAGCCTTGCTACCTCAATTATTTGGTCAGTCAATGTGGAATAATTGACAGAAAACAATTGAAGAAAGTTAAATTTCCCGGTCAAGAAGACAACTTTAACGTTTATCCCATAACGAACTCAGTCCAGATGATTACTTTAATTTCCAAGCATCAATAGAGAATCTAAAGAGAATCATCTTCGGGTCTTGTTATCAACACTCAGTCATAAACGATTTAGATATGAGGATCAAAAGTTTGTCTAAGACAGCTACAGATAGATACTGCGTCGTCAGTCAAGAAACGACAACCGTAGATGCACAAAATACTCACAGCCATACCTCGGGAGAAAAAAGGAAGCTGTGGAATCTCTTCACTAATAACTGATAATTTATACCGAATTATATGTTGCTAGGTTGATAGAGATATAGACTTTCGAATTTCCTTTTACGTCGTTTGATTCAGAACCAAAAGTTACAGTTTTCGGTTGAGATGCTGTACTAATCAATATTTTCCGTTTGCTGGCCATGAATTTGAGCTCACTTTAGTTTTTGAATGCGATATGTATTTTGCAGCTGAAAAAAAGTGCTGCGAAGATTAATTCAGACAAGCTTATGTAATCTCACGTTTGAAAACTTAAGACTGTTGACCCAAAATTCTCACATTATCAGACAATTCTGCCTTATATTGTTTTAACTTCCTATTCACTTACAAAAATCCTTGAAAATGAACCTTGAGAAACAGCGCTCTACATAGTTTTTTGCGCGTTTTTTCACCATAAGATTTTTTGTGAAAACAAAGTATATGGTTATCTTCGAACTTTTAGTCACTTGTTTTTTTATTAAGTTTTCAAATGTCAGGTTTTTCAATATCATGATTATAAAACTGCTGTTAGTGATTTTGTTTAGTCTAACGCCTAATATAATGTTGGCGAAGGTGTGGAAGACTTTCCAATGAAGACTTTGTTCTTTAGACGTAGTTTATCCTACATAATATTTGTTGTATTATGATAATGATCCGCTGACAATTTAGACTGTCTTAGACACTTAGATTTTCTGTAAACGATTCATTCATCTATATGATGATGAACCTATATGGAATTATAGCCGATATCTTTCAGTTGTTCAAACGTTACTCTATTTTTAATCTTGACTTCAAGAAGGGTTTCCAAGAAGATCTCTGGGCTGCTTTCGAACCATATGTGTGCTCGAGATTTCACATGGTAATTTTCAGAGTTGTCCATAAGGTGTTGTGTAAATTACTTTTTTTACTTATTAATTCATCGATTTGTCAAATCTCCAACGTCATTCAACAATTTACATTAGGTATACTAAATTACGATTAAGATTTCAGTTGTAATGATTTTATTGACGTAAACGTTTTAATGTTTATGTTTAGAACTTAAAATGAGACCTGTGTTTTAGTAAGAAGGACAAAGACTTGGGATCTTCTGCTACGGTCGAAATTAAGATTACGTTTTAGAATAAAAATCTATGTGCATGATTTGAGGTTCAGGGTTTGCTTTTGGGTAGAGTTAAATCAGACGTAAATCTGTTCTTCATAATAAACCTCAACATTCAACTCTGAATCCCAACATCGAATTCAAATTCTGTCCCCAAATGCCAGTTCAGTCATACCATTTAAATTTTATTGGAAAAACTTTAGACCTAAATATTATAAGCTTCAACGTTACACCAGACTTTTAATCTTCTTTGCAGTATATCAAATTACGGTGTTTAACAGGTGTATTTCGCAGTCCTCTAACAGTAAGTTTAAGATAGCTTGCAACCTCCGAGTACGTCTCAATTGCACATTTTTTTTTACCTAATATTATTTACACTCATAACATCAATGAAGTCTCTAAAAAAGTAACCGTATCTATGCACTTGCATAAAGTGATTGTTGAACATGAATTACGCACTTCCTATAATTTTCACATAGTTAAAGCCTATTATACCCCTGTAACATGGTATCACATTTCATCTTGTGGAAATGTTTTACAAAATTCCCGAAGATGACTTCTAAGTCCTGATGGAGAGGTTTATTCAAAGCAAAATTTATTTTAGTCTTCATGTCGTGGTATGTCACGGTAAGTAAATTTACAATCCTTGCAACCTCGAAATATTGTAAGTAAAAATTTTTGTGACAGAACATAGTCACTAGATATCATATCTTGTACTGTGAGATTAATTACCGTACTTCGAGCCTTTAACATGCGTTTTAACCTTTTGTTGTTACCATACTTATTGGACAAATTCTACCTCAAAAGTTAACATAAATTATGTATTCCATATGTTCCGCCATAAAACTAAGTGTAGTGTGGGGATTATAAAAATTTCCGCCTCACTCTTACCTTTTATATCGTTGTGCTTATTTACACATCTTTAAACTTCTATAACCTTCAGATAGAAATTTTCCATTTTAGATTCGTAAAGTAGATGAGTATTTAAATGGGGATCTTGACAAAAATTAATGTTTATGAATGTCTCTTTCTACTTGGTATATATTCACTTGGTCTTTTTATATTTATGAGTGGTCTACTGCCAAATGACCCAGCTACAAAAGTTGATAAAAGTAAGATTAGTCTCATTTCTTATCAGTATTTTGGTTTTGTTTAGTTGGGGATGTAGAAGAAACATATAAGATTGATAAATTTGTCATGGTCGTAGTTGACGCATTAAGAGTAGATTTTTTGTTTTCACCAAAGTACTCAGAAAATTGGGTCAAGCTTCGTTCGTATATGAATCTCAAGTCGGCCACATGTTCTGCTTCAATTGTTCAACCCCCTACTGTGACACTACCGCGAATAAAGGTTGGTTTATCGAACAACTCGAATATCATTTTAAAATGTAGGCAATCGTCTCAGGGAGGAACCCGAAGTTTGTTGATATTTTGCACAACGTAAATGCAGAAACAATGGTTGATGATAACTGGGTAACTCGTTTGGTAAATCATCAATGGAAAATTCAATTTTATGGGGATGATACTTGGATAAAGCTTTTTCCTCAAAGCTTTCAGGCCTATGAAGGCACAAATTCATTCTACGTTAATGACTTCCATGAAGTAAAATCACTTGAAGCTAAATACTTTTTTATATTACAGGTAGATGAAAATGTAACACGTCATATTTCGACATTGATGACTACACCTGATACATGGGATGGCCTTATTTTGCATTATTTGGGGTTGGATCACATTGGACACATTGAAGGACCTAAGGGATCTAGCATCCCTAAAAAAATTCGTGAAATGGATGAAGTTATTTACAGCATACTTGAAGTATTGGTATGTTTGTTGTTTATGTTTTAATAACTACTCTAATGTCTTCCAAAAATATGTATATTGGTTTGTTACTATTCTTTACTTAATTGTCGGATACGTTTGCTTCATCGTTTTAATTTAATCTCTAATGTCCATATTGTTTAAGCTTTAAATTGTTTTCAAGTGAAAAGGAATACCTGATATTTGTAAATTTGTCACTGTTACTCTGTTAATATTTCATTTCAGTATACTATGTCTCAAACAGTACTCGTGTCTTAAAGAGCTGGGAAAACTCTGCTAGGATAAGACAATGTTTGATAAAATCATTGTTCATGAAATGGATTGTTTCCCATTATTTTGCAAACTTGGACTCGAAATGTGTATCTTTGTAATTTTTTAGCATCTATAGTTTTAAGATAAGAAATGACTTTAATGGAAATTATTGTAATATTATTGATATTCTATCATTATTTTGTACAGTGCGAGTAGCTTTATTCAAAGTTAGTGAGACTGTCAACGTTAAATTTCGTTTTGATACTTCATTATGAATGGTAAGTGATTAAATAAAGTTTCCAATGTTTGCTGACTTAAATATCCTTGTTATATTATGTATGTGTATAAGATCGGTTTAAAATAAGTGTTAATACTGTCATAAACATGCAGAAACTGGCAAACGGTTCGGAATAGCGACGAATCTGCCCCTCATGTTTAAGAAAAAGTTAATTTGAGTTTATAATCATGAGACTCTAAATGTATCAGTGACTATTGACTAAAGGATAATCAATAATTCACGCACTTTTAATTTTGTCTTATAGGCGTTTGATTCAGTGATAAATTTTATTAGCATTAATTTTTGTGGTTGTTGCTTTTTTGGATAGGATATATACTCTAGAGGCTGGAGTAATTGACGCAAAGATACATCTATATTTATTTTTTAATCCCTTTCATAAAAATAGCATCTATAATTGCGTTTGTTTATATGTAACCGAATACGTCGTAACCATTGTTTTTACTTAAAAAACTACACAAAAAAGACAGGTATGTCATCTTAAAATTCTGTATAAAGTGTATGGATTTGCATGTAAATTCTTCTCAACAGCATACAAGTTAAAAAGATTAGTAACTGAAGAGGAGAAAGGTGCTAAAAATGCTTAGGATACGAAAATAACTATATATGAAGTATTTAGTAATAAGATGTTCATTCAAACATCGATTTCTAATTCTCTACTCATCTAACCGTTGGAGCCATGCATTTTCCTACGTAGTTCATATTAAAAGTCCAAGTTATATGGAACTATCTCATGTATTGAATTGATTACTAAGTTTTATTCATCGCTACTTTACTATGGTTAACATTACTCACTATGAAACTTAGTATTATACTTTAATTTACATATTTGTATACGGCGCACAGTATTGTTCTAACACTCAAACTAAAGTTTTCAGATTGAATTTCGAAATCCATTCTCAATATTCGAAAGTTGGTTTTTAAAATCTTTAGACCACAGTTTCACGCGTATTAGGCATAATAACACACGATTAATCTTGTTTCTTTTTTCAATTTGTTACTACTCTGCTAACAATAACGGTTGACACCGATTCAGCATTCATAAAATATAGCTCATACTAATATTCGTCAATATTTAAACAAATAGTTTGACAGAAATCTGGCGCTGAATATATGGAAGACGTTGTTTGAAAATTTATATTTGTAATAATCTCAGCGGTTGAAATTTAAAGAGTTCCACCGTTTCATCCAACAAACCTGTCTGGAATTCTGCTGGATAATAATCAGAATCTCTAAAGGATGAATTCATATTTCTATCGCTGAAATTATTTTAAGTATAATTTTCACAAACAGAATATAATGTTCTACATTTTTTACTCTTGTCAATAATATTAACCTAAACGCCCAAGTCGGAATGAATAACAACGGATACAAAGATATATCATGGGACGACATGGACTGGGAGAAACGAACGAGAATGGTGAGAGATTTGCAAATCTATGTGCATTCAACAAATTGGTTATAGGCTGCAAAATGTTCCCACACAAACGCATACACAAAGCTACATGGGTCTCACCGGATCACACCACAGAGAACCAGATTGGTCATATTTGCATCAATAAAAAATTCAGAAAGTCGATTGATGACGTGAGAAGCATAAGATGAGCCGACGTAGATTCAAATCACCACCTGGTTGTGACCAAGATGAAACTGAAGCTAAAGAAACACTGGACAGCTGCGGAAACAGTTACAAAGTTCAATACAGCCTTTATTCGAGATACTGTCAAACTCAACGTATTCAAGATAGATCTCAACAACTAGTTCCAAGCACTACAAGATCTATTCAAAGAAGAAAGACTACTATGAAGGACAATATGGAAGGGATCAAAGAAGCACCAACTTGAACACGTTAGGAGGTTTTGAGCCTCAAGGGACATCATCGTAAGAATGGACCTCTATCGAAACCTTGGACAGCATTCATGAGAGGAAGAACAAGAAGACATTAATTAACAACAGTAGAACAAGAGCAGAGAAATTCGAGACACAGACCGAATACACGGAAGCAAACAAGCAAGCGAAGAGGAGCTTTAGGGCCGACAAGCAGTTACACGTGGAAGATCCAGCGACGACAGCAGAAAAAGCTGCAAGCGAGGGACATATAAGACAATTATATGATACAACCAAGAAACTGGCAGATAAATATGACAAACCAAAGCGAGCAGTCAAGAACAAAAAAGGCAAGACAATCAAGTCCCTTGACCATTATGAAGTATTTGATAGTGTGTATAAGAGAACCTTATGTTACCACAACCATCGTCAAAAAATGTAGGAGTATTTATAATCAATTGTCTATGCAAGATACTGAATGTCCGTTAACCAGATATAATGAGCGACAGCCTACTGTGAGAGAACAAATCAACATCCAACTGAAGAGGAGATTAAGAAAGACGTTGGGAGTGGATAGGACATATATTGTGGAGATCATCAAACGCCACCGAATGCCCTGGTACAACTGAGGGTGGGGAGAGTCAGTTCTTCTTCTCGAAGTGCTCTCACATGGCCACGCGTATGCGGCCACTGTCAGGGAAGTCCTACTCACTGCCTTCTCGTGGTGGGGGCGTTGTCTACGAAATTGAGACGAGGAAAAGCGAATGTCCAGCGCTGTAACAGGGTTGGTGGACATGGAGAGTCCACCTAGGGGAGTTGGAAAACCCTGATTCCAAACCGATGATGCACATGGTCTCCAGTATCCTGAAGAAACAAATGGCATACGAATCAATCGTTGGTAACCGGCTACCATGGAACTGCATCTCCTAACGTTACTCAACTGCCTTATGGATCAGACCTTCAGGTCGAAGGCTCCGGGTGTGGACTCCTAAGAAAACCACCTGCTTCGGTTGGGACACCTGGGCATTATCATAGCCCTTGCACAAATCAAATGAGATTTGTGTGGCGCATATGTATTTGGTGCCTCCTTGTACCAATATCTTTGTGTTCAAATAAAATAAATAAATAAATCATCAAACTGCTTCACGAGGTAAGCTTGAAGTTGAAATTCTGAAGGGGAAAGGAAAAAAGGTTAACTCAACAATACATTGCTCCGGGAATTGGAGGTAGATATCAAAAGAATGAATAGCAACTGGAAAGGATTGCCCAGGACAAAGTTGGTTGGAAAATGCTGGTGCGCGGCCTATGCTGCTCGAGTGGTAACAGGTGTAAGTAAGTAACTAATTTTAGTACCCAAAGACTTAACGCCTTTATTGATAAGTGCTACCTTCTACCATCAGCATTAATGTCAACACTGATATAAGTACATCAAACTGACTAGTTGCTAGTTGTTTTCACTAATACGCATAATCCAAAATCTTACCAATAATTTATTTCCTGTTTCATTATGAGATTTTTTAAATTTCGGACTGAAATTTTCATAACTTATAACAATATAGTAATTCTAGGAGATAATGAAATTTTAAAATATTGGTACAGAAAAATTGTCATAATAATTGTTATTAAAATACTTATTTTTACTTTTACTGAAGTAATAGATCATCCGTAAAGTAATTGATCATTAAAATTAAAATAAACTGCGTTGAACATTTACATTTTATGTAAACCAATGGTTTATATTAACAAAAATTGAAAGAACCACAGTATATGGTTAACTCTGCAACTGTATATTTCCCATTGCATCATCAACTTGGTTCTTTTTATTATTAAACCTCATAACGATTTTTAATACGTAAATTGTCTATCTGCCAGTTCAACTAATATCGACTATTAATAATTAATTTTCAACTTAACTCAGTAATGAACTATAAGTTCGCATATACACTTGGTTCTTAACTATACGTTCTTATATAGTTTAGTTGTTATATTCAACTGATTAAATCAAAGTAGGTGCTACGGAATTCAAAAATTTTTATTGGTGTTTAGTCAATTTATTTTAAATGAAAATTGTTTCATAATCGATTTTTAAAGTATTTATTATAACTTAAGATGAAAATTGCCCATTAATAAATCATTTGTGTTTAAATGAATGACATTAACACTGTTTGAATCATTTTGATTGACTGACTCAATATTGTATTTCTATTTCTAGTATGTATGTGAATGTTGTTTAAATACTTATTTTCCATGTTTAATGGCTGAATTAAATTATCAACCAAAAGTTGTTACTATTTGTTTGATTATCGAATATCTAGTATAAATGAGTTTTGCTAAATTTAATTTGTTAGACTGATAGGTCCTGGGTTCGAATCTCGCGAGGAGCGGGATCGTGGATGTGCACTGCTGAGGAGTCCCATACTAGGACGAAACGGCCGTCCAGTGCTTCCAATTTTTTCATGGTGTTCTAGCTTCAATGGATTCATGATTTCAACTAGTGAAATTTCTAAAATCTCCACACAATCCATTCTGATATTAATTTGTTAGTAGTTAACAAATTTATAGGATTTATCTCATTGTGGTGTTTTATGTTTTGTTTTTCTCAGATCATCTTTAGATTTTTAAGACTCGATTCCTAAAGTTAGTTCATTTAAAATATTCGTTGAATTTATTATATTTGTTAGATAGCTAATGATTCTATTTGCAACTCATCAGTGAAATGTGATTGAGGCTCAGTGTTAATGTTTACATTGGAACTCAAACTCAATCCCTATCACTTCAGATATCTCCCTAAGCTATTGATTTCAGATAAACACAAATTATTCAACAGGTATGAAAGTATTGGCAATAGTTTGCAATCTCCTATTGTTGATATTCAGAACTCCGATTGATCAGTTAGTACTATCATATGTACATAACATATAGAGGCAATTTGCACAGAATGCATATATAACAACAGATATTGTTTAATTTCAGATCTAAACATCAACAACGGGAAATTGAAAACATCCACTAGTATTATTCGTTTACTAATAACATGCTAGTTTAGGAGAGAAACAACGGTCAATCATTTCTGTTGGAATCTTTTATTACCTGCTAATGATATGTCTATGACCCTAATGGTTAGCTTTTAATCTAAAGTCCAGGGACTGATAGAAATTGGGTGAATTACGCCTTAGATTATGGAGCATTTAGACTATAAAAGTCATATAAGTAGATGAACTTTGCATCGTGCAAATGAAAACGACTCGTTTATTTATCTCATATATATATATATATATATATATATATATATATATATATATATATATATATATATGATCGAATCCCTCAAGATATTATTATTATTATTTTAACACATAGATATCGGTACAAGAAGGCACCAAATACATATGCGCCACACAGATCTCATTTGATTTGTGTGAGGGCTGTGATACTGCTCGGGTGCCCAAACTGAAGCAGGTGGTTTTCTTAGGGGGCCACACCCCGAGCCTTCGACCTGAACGTCTGACCCACAAGGCAGTGGAGCATCGTGAGGAGATGCAGTCCCATGGAAGCCGGTGACCAAGAAATTGGTTCATACGCCATTTGTTCCCGCAGGATACTGGAGCCCATGTGCACCATTGATTTGGGGTCCGGTTAATGCGCCGGACATTCGCTTTTCGTCCTCTCATTTTCGTAAACAACAGTAATGCCACGAGAAGGCAGTGAGTAGGACTTCCCTGACAGGGGCTGTATACGCGTGGCCATGTGAGAGCATTTCGAGAGGAGGAGCGGACTCTCCCCACTCCCGGCCATACCAGGGCAAAAATATACTAAATCAGTTACTCAGGGACTACTCATGCCACATTTATTAATAAAATTTTTAATTAACCTAAGCTTTGCCCTCTAAATAAAGAATCCATGGCCTAGTCAATAAAAAATCAGGTTCTCAACGAACCTTGAATGAATTCATGAATCTTTTCTTTTCTGTACTCTTTCGTAAAATTTCCATTCATAGTTTGCAAATTGGAATCCCGTTCTATCTACTTAATTTTAAATTTCTGTTTATTATCACAGAATCCTCATGTATACATTGTAGCTCAAATAATCAGAACACAAATCAATTCTTGATTAATGAATTAAATTAGAAATTTTGGTATCTTATTGTTCTCACAATAATTTTTATATTTTTCTACTTTTTTTTCAGATGAACTCTTCATCAATTATCAATAAAAATTGGTTATTCATTTTAACAGGCGATCATGGAATAAGTGATAAAGGTAGTCATGGAGGCTCTACAACTGGTGAAAAAACAACTGGCCTTTTTATGCTTGGATCTAACTGGAATAAAACAAATGATCACTTAAATGAGGTAAATGTATACTTGAGAAAAAAAGTGTACTTTTAAATAATGGTTATTACGTTTGTTTTCCAATTTTTAATAAATCTTAAACAGAGGGCGTTTTGTGGAGATTTTAAAGATTTCAATAGTTGAAATAATGAGTTAATTGAAGCTAGACCACCATGGTTAACCTGGATGCGCACTGCTGAGTAGTCCCATACTAGCACAAAACGGCCGTCCAGTGCTGCCAGGTTTTTCATAGTGGTCTAGCTTCAATTGACTCATGATTTCAACTAGTGAAATCTTAAACATTTGACTGACTGATTGGTGCAAATAAAGTAAAAGTACCATTATTCTCTTAGTAGTGACATTTCAAAGTATCATCCTTGAAAAAGAATCATGTATGAAATGTGAAACTGAAGAAATCGAAGCTTTGAAAAAAAGTAACATATGGTAGAAAAAGAGGAAATATCTCCAATCAGTTTTACAATGTCACAAATTTATTTACTGGTCAATGTACCATTTGGTAACGAAAAAAAAAATAAAGAATTTACATTGATTGTTGGATTTGTTGTTTCGCTTTCTGCGCTTTGCATTCCAATTATTGAATTTTATTTGAGGGATTAGTATAATTAAATACTTTAGAGTTGTTTTAAGGTCTATTTGGACACTGTTGTTTAATAATAAATTATTGATTAGATATCGACAGTCATAGCTATGTATATCTATCTATATTGAGTTTTTATCCGCAGTACTCACTCATGACCATATGGAAGAGATTAATTCCGGACATTTTGATTGATACTGGAATCATTAAATTTCATAGTTAAACACTTTTATTTTTGTCGTTCTAAAAGAAGATTTTTAAAATGTCTGTCTTAACTACCTCAATTTAATTGTTGGATCATGAAACTTTTACCGTTTTTTCGTAAACAATTGATTATTAGCAGAAAGTACAAACGATTTGATTTACTCGCATTGTACCACTTTTCAACAGCATCGATAAACAAAATAAATATTTTCGTATTTTATGTAATAAAAGTACCCGACTGTTTGAACTGGAGTGAAACAGTATTTAAGCGTATGATTCAATTGATCAAGACAACGGTTAATTGGATTAATTGATAATTTGGGATTTCGATTGGAAAATAAATGTAAAATTGATCATTTGTTACTCTTATTTAAACACAAACGATCATCTAAATATATCTACGGATTAATGACTTGATGCGTACACAATCAAATTTTATGATAGGGAGTTTTAGGTTTGAACCTGGTCCCATCAGTTTCACTGTGGAAAACTTGGTATTGCCTGTAGGTTTGGCATAAAAAGTGCCGCTTAAGGTTGAATGCATGAATACACATTTGAGTTGACAAGTTTCACTAGTATATGTATATTATTTACAGTATCAGACATATTACTTGTAAGTCATTTCCCAAGTTTGTTTCACTGTAGTATAGTAGGATATTGTATACTACTCTCCTTAACGCTTTAACTTGATAAGCGTTTGATTTTGATTTAAAATTAGTTACGATTCGTACCATAGATGGAGGATATTGATGCTTTCAATAATTACAATTTCTAAATGATAAAGTACTGCATATTTTGAGGAACCAGTCATTATTATCGATAGTAAAAGTATTACTAGTTGTAAACACTTGGTACGACGGTGACGTATTTATTTAAACAAAGCTGTGAATAGAATTAAGGGTATGGAGTTTGAAAACTTATGATGATTATTTTGATATTTTATGAATAATTACCACTTTCCAACAACTCCAATTGTTGAAAGTGACGCTACATCTCGGCGGCCTGCTTGAATATCTGGGCTACCTGTTCCTCCCATCTAGATATTTCGTCAAGTTATCTGTTTTCTTGTTTGTTTTAATACACTATTATGTCTATTGAGCTCACAACCTATTCAGGCGCGTTTACGAAAAGTTTACAACCTTTCGCTGTACGGATTACAAAAAGGTACAACCAGCGACATCATGGTGGTTTGCAATATGCATTGAAATGAATGAACATTATTCAGATGTCGATTATCGAACTCCTTACATCTAACTGGCCATCACTCAATATTTATCGTCAGGATCGATCAAGATATAAGAAAAGGAAACTTGTTGAAATACTTTATGCTGAGAATTCAATAGTGTACCACAAATATAATGTTGAATAAAGCTTATAATAATAATAATAATAATAATCATTGAAAATGGTTTAGTAGTTTGGTAATTAAAATACTTGATTTCCAACTGTTAGGCAACGTGTTCGAATTCATATCTGGGTAGTAGCATTAGATCTCACAAGTAAAATGGGACTCAAAACTGAGTGTTGTTGGGGTGATCCAAACTATTCCTCGAAAAAGTCCAGAGGGCCTCTAAAAACACTGGGAAACATTTTGTTCAATCAGCGTTGAATGTAAGCTTCTCAAGACATCTCGAAAGTGAAAGGTCACGTGTCACATTTACGATTGCATAATTACCTATTCCACTACTACTACTACTTACTATGGTTTCAGAACCCTCCAGAAGCGCAAGGTCATCTGAAATACTATAAGTACCTTCGATTTCATGTATATAGATTAACCTTAGAGTGTAGCGTTCTTTTCACACTTCGCGCCTGTTCTCTCGTGTTCATTTTGTCATGTAGATTTACCTTGGCGTTATTAGAACAGCTTAAGAAACCGATTCAAGTGTTCGGTTAGAAGACTTATCAAGTATGCTAACCAATACAGAGTAAATGAATTATTTCTCACCTTAGAAAAAAAATCTTAAGCGTAGTTCAATCCCTCTCTCTCTCTCTCTTAGATAGGCTAGATTTACATTTAATTATTACCACGTCAACAAATGAAACGATGCGTAATAATAATAATAATAGTAATAATAATAATAATAATAATAATAATAATAATAATAATAATAATGGCTTTATTCAATACTATAAATTTTTACACAGTAAAACATTCTCATTATCAGTTATACAATATTACTACAAATATCTCTTTGACATAAATTCATATTATAATTACTGAAAACATATTTTGAATTTTTTTAACATTCTGTATCTTTCACCCATGTTCATTGATTAAAGTTTTCTACCAGTTCAACTGATACAACTATGTTCGTAATCTGTCATACATAAGGTTCTTGGATTCCAAAATATTTGTCTCTTATTTTGTCAACGGATAGATAAAAACAAAAAGTATTTTAATGTTTCTGTTTGATTGTTCCAGTAATCAGATATGTGATAACTTTTAACTCGCCTAATATTAGCCTTTCAATATATCTAGTTAGCATTCACATAATCATTCAGTTTAAACAGATCTAAGACAAGCTGGTTAATTGCAGTATTTGCACAGTTAGTAAAATAGGTAGTTCTCAAATGTTTAATCAGGTCTCTGTATTCAAAATCATCTTTACATCACAAATATCTTTGTTGTTCTATTTGGTAACACCTATAACAATTCACTCATCTTAGACTTAATATGAAATCATGCTTAGAACTTCCAATTCTCATTATAGTTATATTACTGACTAAAAATGTTATTTTTTGTGTAATAATTATCAATTAAATTGAAGCTTTGTACAATTACTTTTTTAATTTACTCTCGTGTTCCTGCAGTATTTTTTAATATTTTTTACTCAAGAACACATGTGTAACAACAAATCTAAAACAGTTGCCGCAAACACAACAAGTTGATTTAGCCACATTAATTGGATTAATTACGGGAGTTGGTATACCAGAGAGAAGTTTGGGCATTTTATCATCTTCATGGTTGTATAATTTCTGGTCAACAAATTATGATCGATTAAAAGTGCTATATATGTTAATGCAACATATTGGTCGTTTATCTGGTGAATGTGTATTTTCATTGAAGTCATATCATAAACTAGAGCATAAAAATTGTATGTCAAGTGTATGGAGTCAAGAACGGAGTGAGTCTCTCATTTTTAAATAACAAAATAAATACATTTATCATTAATGTTATTACATTTCGAAATACTGTATGAATATACCGGTTTAGTATCACAACTCAAACGGATTCATATGCACCAGGTTCTATGTTGCTTGCTCCTAGTATCGTAATCTGTGTATTCAGTCTTTTTTTATTATAATTGACACTGCTATTTTCGATGTTCTGATATGATGTTGTATCAAGCTCTTTCCGAGACATACAGCTTTTAAGTTCGATCCATTGTATGGTTATGTGTACACACTGTTGAGAAATTTCAAACTAGGAACATACTTAATTTAAATGTTCTTAGACATTCCGTGCTTCTGGAATTAACGCTGATTGGCAACGAAAAGTAACTTCAAAATGAAAATTCTTCACAATCCCTCACCTTGATCATAAACATTAGTCTATAAAAGTTGACTTTCGAATTTAGCCTAATAATTCTTTGCCCAAGTCCCAAACACTAATTTATATCTGTTGACGAAGATGAACCGAGTTCAGCTAAAAATCTATCTAATCTTTAATATTATAGCAGTTGATTTCTACTCACATTCGTTAAATAATACAAAGAGTCATTTCTGACTAGTATCAACTCTTGTATAACATAAGTTTATGAATTTATTCATGTATCATTATCAAATATCTTTAATATTAATGCTAATTTGTTGCAAAAACTATTCCATCATTAATATTACACTAACCGACAGGATATCGTTGTGAATTGTTATTTTTAATATTTGATTTTCAATTTATGATGCTCGTTGCTTCAATAAATATTTTTACAGCTACGGAATATAACATTTTGCTAAATGAAATTATCACTTGGTTACATTGTCAAAACACTCAGGGAAATTCAACTAATGAATTCAAGCAAATTGATTGTGTAAAATCAGGTTCTCGTTTAAATGGCGAGAAACTAATTACTAGTACAGTTAACCTACTTAACGGTATACAATCAGAATCTTTGTCAAAAGTTGAACATTTAAATAATAAACAAATGCTATTTGGCGGTATTTTAATGTGGATTGTAAGTTGATTATTTGTAGGTAATTCAAATGCTTTTTCAACTCAATTGTTTCAGGCAGTTATTTTGTTTTTGTGTTGAAATTCTGAATTACCACTCACCATTTTGCCAAGAGCTGGATTCAAATCTATTTCTTGTAACGATCACAATATTTGTGCGTTATTAAACGGGAATGCAATAATTCCTATTCATTTTTTAAGTCCATATTAGTGATGTGCAAACCTCTACCCAACCACCCTAACTGGAGTCGGTGTGTAAATATTTGAAACTGAAAATGACTATCTAGAAGATAAACTTTCTAATTAATAAAATATCGCTTTACATTTTAAAGTAAGAAAATCTAATAAGAAACTAAAAACTGTATACACTGTTTAAAACTAATGGACTTGGGATGAAATGTTTTATATTAGTACTAAATATGTGCTAAACGCCTGTAAACTGAAAAGCTTTGCAACATGTAGGTGGTGTTCATACTAAGAATCAAAATAATAAATAGTAACTTTACACTAAGGATATATATATATATATATATATATATATATATATATATATATATATATATATATATATATATATATATATATATATATATATATATATATAGGTTATGTAGGGTCTTAATAAATTAAACTGTTAAGTGTATCCCAAGCATGATATCTTGGCAAGAAATCCCAAGTCTATCAAATTCAATATGACTACTAGCTGATACGAGCCAATATATCGATGCAACATGTGTGATCTTATATAATTCAAGTTAATCTTGATCCAACCCTAAATTTTGGTCTCATACTAGTTGGCCATTAATCAAGATGGCATATCTACACTCTTGAAGGTAACTTCTGTTCCTTGGAACAGGGTGACTGTCAGAGATGTATTACCATAGAAATACTTGGTTAGAATATATTTATCATTCTTTAATTTTCTCATAAATCTTTGCAAAATTACATAGTTTTCTGTTTATTTTTTGAACATAAAAATGATCTATTATAGGTTACGTTATTGCTGTTTCACAAGATTCTCAATTCAGTTATTTACTCTTCCGATACCAAAAATTCTTTGACAAACAGAAAAGTAAGTAATATGAGTGCAGTTATTTCAATTTTACCTTGAGTGAAATAGTGCAGATAGACTCCAGTGGATTAATAATACTGACTAACTTTTACACTAGAGTTTTTATAGATTAATATATTTAAACTGGAATTACGGAGAATATCCAGTACGAATTTAGCTAGGCTAACATTAATGAATTACCAATTAAAAAAGAAGGTTGGGGTACTGGAAAACTGTCTCATCCTAGTTTTTTGGAACTCAAAAATCGATCATTTTCGAGTACTTCTACATTAGTCAGTCAGTAATAACGTGGAACTTTATGCGTACGTACATCAGTTCGAGTTGCCATACCACGTTAGCACAGAGATGCAGTTATCGATTCAAATCCCGTAGTGGTAGAGGTAGTGAAAGTGTAAGTAGTAATAGTTCTAAACGTGGATGAGACAGCTGTTCAATGAATTCCTGATTTTCTAATAGTCTTACAATGCCTAGTAAGCCTCAATAATCTTATTTACACTAATTGATATAAACTACCTTCTTTCTCACTGTATATATTGATAATCTTCCACTTATCTTGAAGTACATTGTTCTGTTTAAGGACTACTTCTAACTATCAATTTAATAAATTGATGGGTTTTATTTTGGTAAATTTAATTGTGATTTTGTATTCTCTATGATTTCTATTTGTATGGTCCATACAAATTATTTTGTATTATTCTGTCTCGAAGATTTATTGTTGATTCTGTATAATACTTTCTTTTTTCATGAGATAGATCTGTCTACATCTAATAGCTAATTGTTTTTATTAGGATAGTACAAGAAGTGGTGAAATATGATACTAGGATAGTTATTTTTCATTAAATAAGCTTACATACTTTTAATGAGCATTCATCAAAACTATTGATTTAATAGCACTATTATACCACTAAAATCCAGATTACGAGTTTCATTTAATTTTGAACTCTTCAGTTGGATATACCTGGGTCCTAATGTTGACGTTAATATCGAGACTCGAACCCATCTGACTAGTGCTTCAAACGCCAACGCTTTATCTACTGTGTTACTGATTCCAGGAAAGCTATCGACTTGTTCAACATGTATGATGTGTTTATAAGCAATTGCCTTAGAATGCCGGTACATCCAACAAAGATCTAACTAACTTTAATCTTAAATTTCATTAATTATCGTTATATTTTCTCACCGTTCATGAATTATCTGTTAACTATCAATACGTTTTCTAACTATTCAGTACCTAGCTATGCTTGTAAATTGTAGTGTTGTTGTGATACTTTTGACTGTACATTTGTGTTTTGAGTCCTGTTGTAATTAAAGATGGGGGAACGCAAAACTGCGACATTGTCCATCGATCGTTTAATGAATATGGTATTCGCGTAGTTTGTGTCAATTATCTATAGTATTCCATATACTGTTATAAAAATCTCTGTCATACACTTATTATATCTGTTTCACATTATGCACTATCCTATTTATATTCTTTAATATTCCCGCATGTATTTTCATTTTACATGCATTATACAACAGTAGAAAAAATATGTAGAAATATAAAATCAAATGGTCCAAACTAATTTAAAATGAACATAAACGATATAAATATAAGAGGAGATAAACAAACAAAGCATAATGATCTTACACAATTCTAATTAGTTTTGCAAAATTTCACCTGAAGTTTCGAATTTCTACAACTTATGTCCAAACACAGCATTGCTCACTCTATTGTACACGAATATTGCTTGTACAAATGCTGTGAGCACACACTAGTATATTACATTTACCATAAAGCCTCATAAAGCTGGGCTGTCATCACTTTCAGTAGTTCTGTGCCATCAATTTGCGAGCATCTTTAATAGATCTTTTTCAAGTAATTTTATACCGAAAATGTGGAGAAAGATGAAGATAATCTCAATATCAAAGAAAGTATCTGGTGATGAGAATGCGAAATCTAGGTCTATTTTAATAACTTCTCCTTTCCTCAAAACAATGGAAAAACTATTACTGCTTTCACTTCATCCTGCATTAAAAGAACATGTTGATCTATTTCAGTCTGCTAACAAGTGCAAAAGAAGTACCTTAGTTGCTGCTTCTGTTGTGTATCACAATACAGTATTCGGCTGAGATTAGGGTAAGGAGTATGTTCGATGCTCATTTGTAGACTATACTTGTACCTTCGACTCTCTTGCATGACCACTACTACTAAACAATTTTTCAGGCGTCAACATTGATAGCTGTATATACACCAATTCCTGCCTCTTTACATCCTCTTGGAATGAATGAGGTCTTGTTTTTCATTGAACGATAGTCTGTTGTTAATGGTCTTACACTTAATCCTTCCAAATGTCAAACTGTTAATTTTAGCATGAGACATAAAAAATATTTAAACACCCTGTTGGAATCCAACAAAGTTTGTGCTCTTGGAGATTTTGTAATAAAAGTCATGTCGAAGATCGTCTATCTTAATGTGAATTTTGCCTCTAAACTCTATTGATCTTCTTACCTTTTAATGATATCGAATAAAGCTTTCCATCCAACTTATTATATGAAGAGACTACATGCTTTTGATATCTCTTGACATTTACTTTTATGGTTTCCCAGTTCTTTCATACTATGTATTATTCCTTTCTGTTCCCCATTCTTATTTCTCGGGTTTTTAAAAGAGAGTTTTGGTGTGTTAAAAAGAGTGCTAAAGGCAGTTATCAGAATGTGTGGTGAATCTTTTGAGGTAATTATGAATATGTTTGTGGATATACATTAAAAGAATTACAGACTCCTGGCGTTTGATTTCAGATACTAACCATCTATTTCATTCGAACTTTTCTCCTTGTGTATTTTCTGATAGAACGAGACATCATTACATTAAAATCCATACTCTCAAGTAAAGTTATAAAAGCTCTACAATACCTTATCTAGCTAATATACTAAGCGACGGACAGGTTGTAAGAAGTGGCCTAGTCAATAACTTATATCCTTAAACATGTTTTTAATTAAAAGTTTTACAGGCTTGAATCTTCTTAAAAAACATTTCACCTGATCCCAGGTAGTCTATTTACCTAATTTATGTATATATGTATTCAGCTATCGGATTTTTCTGCTTTGTAAAATAAACTTCTTGAAATAATTTGTTCTGAGAATTCTATACTGTACTAGACATACAATATTAAATAAAGCTTTTGTTAATAATACACTCCTATATTTGACTTGGTCAACTCCATAATCTAACAAGATTTCGTCTGTCCTTAATTTCTCACCTTTTCCACAATCTCTTTTCGACTTTTTTTTACAGAATCAAAAAACAATAATTCAGTATTATTATTCGGATACAGCTGATTTGAGTTATTCATTTGATCCGTTATTAGTTCAAATTATTTGTTGGTTCGGCACAATTTGCTTAGTTCTACATTCCATCAGTTTAGCATCAAGTAGTTGGGCTGAAGAAGAACATCAATTATGGTATTATTTTAGTTCAAGTCTTATATTACTGACTAGTTTGTTAATTCTACTTGGCAATGTTAGTTCAAGTGTGAAATGGACCATTTTAAAAGTTATTTTTAAAATACTTTTATTAGATCGCTTCCTATTGCGTAGACTACATCAAACTGGTAATAAATGGATACATTCACCGGATATATCTGACTGGTTGTACAAGTAAGTTATTATTATTATCATTATTATGTATAAGAGTTTTATCAAGAGCTAACAATATTCAAACCATTTGACTTTTAAGTACTATGTCATACGTTTAAACCCTAATCATCCTATGTTTACTTTGGCAGCTAGATAGTAAAATTCGCCTATGCTACTGATTTGTCATTCGGAAACATAGTACGTAATCTCTACAAAACCACTTTAGGAAGTAAATTCAAAGTGTTAGAGACCATTAATTATTAATTTGAAACTTAAATTATGTAGAAATCATTGCTGTAGATATATGAGTATTATACATTCATATCCTTTGTTACAGTTAGACTGAAAAAATAATCATGTTCCATTTCGAAGACCACTTTACTCTACTAGTTGGTTGAATGTAGACGACAGGAAACTTTGGATTTAAGTTTCGAATCAAGTGTGACCTTTCTTATTCGAATTTAAGGTAGAGACTAAATATATGAACTTAACGGTTTATACGAGTTTTGTTTAGTCTGAAAATGCATGAGCAACCCCATTTCAACTATCTTTTAACATTTATGCTCAATAAAAAGAATGATCATTTACAAAAGATTTTTTATTGACTCTCCAAAGGACAGCCTTCTTGTACATATTGCGAAGTTAACTTTGTAAACACCATAAAATGTCATAAGAGATTTGATAATCAATAAGCTAAAGGTACGAACTGTAAATACAAAATCCATGGCAGAATTTCTGTGAAGATCCATATTAGATATCTTTAGAACTAGTATTTTTTTCGAGTTATTCATAGCCTCTTGTACATGATTGTTATTTTATCCACTGTTGTAATGATAACTTCATATTTTAAAAACTCATATCTTACTTTTAGTCTCCCTTTTTTCGGAAAATTGAAGTTAGCTTTCATCACGGTTTGATATTAGTTCGGGAATTATTAAGAATTGAGAGATATTGGACCTTTTTTGTTTTGGTTTTAGACTCTATTGAGGGTTGAATTCAAAACATTTCATTCTTATATGATGATTGTGATAAGTTTGACCTATTGACCTGAAACGCCCAAAATTCAGTCAGTCAATATAATACGTTAGATGATAAAATGATATCGGTAACAATTGCTATGACATTTGACGTGACTATATTTTCATATTTTCCCGTTCTGAACCTATATGAAACTGAATTTCAGGCTAATTACTTAGTAGATTGAGTGAGCATTAAAAATAAAAAAGCGATCCTATTAAAAAAGATAAAGGCTTTTCAAGGTCATGGTACATATTATCAAAATAGTGTTTTCTATCGAATGTAGATGATTAATCATAACGACGACGACATCATTGAGCACTTAAGGCTAGGGTCTTGATTAAGGATTAGTAATTAGGATCACCCTAAATCCTATTGTTGTATCCAGCCTTAAACATAGGTTTGACACTAGCCTTACACTGTATCGAATATCCTTTGAATTCAATGCAGGAGCACTCATGGTCTATTTTGAAAAGTTCTATAAGTCTATAAAAACAATTTTCTGACTGTAAATTATTCCACTGAGCATCATATATCATTCATTCATATTTACTGAATAGGGTCGAGAATTTCTGAAGTTCAATTTAAGAGTAGTGGTTCAATTTCGTGTTTATTTTTATTATTTATCAATAAATTGTTTTCATTGTGAGTTATCATAGAATAACTGCATTTCTTTGTATGTAAACCCAAGTAAGGTGATGAGCTACAAAAACGCACTGTCAAATACTGCATGTCATCTTTAACGTTTTCATATCCATGTACCATACCCAGTTCTTCCAGTTATATTCCCATCAATTTAGTGTATGAGCTGTGTAATTTTCATGAAACGTTTCACCTTGAACCGTAGCTTTCACTACATATATTTATGTTTTTCATCCGGCATGTTCAATAGGCTGAGTTACACTGGACGTGTCAATAAAATGGTAGTGGTGCGGTTTCTTAAACGTTTAATGTTGATCAAGCCTCACAAACCCGCCACATGGATGTGATTTAGTGGGGAAGTCGGTACCACGGGGTCCTGGCGCGCGGGCGTATACCGCTAACATATAGGTTTTTACCTGTTCATCCCTCTGCATACACAGGTATACTCACCCTGGGGGGAAAATACGTTATATGTATGCCGGTAACACACTTTTCCACTCATGCATCTTATAACATACATGTTAGTATATTCACTCACCTGGGAGGTTATATGATCAGCTCTCCCCTCGAACATATTTGCCACAACTGACTCTTATGCATTACTTGTATACCACTGGTACGATTTTCGCCCTCGCACTTCATGACATACAAATAAGCATTAGTACTTTCAGGAGTTCACCTCTCACTAGGATTTTCTATCATATCTTTTTATTTTATCTTCGACCTATTAGTTTAGACCGCTGATTTTATTTAACATTGGGCAGACATTTGAGCTTTCGCTTCTTTTGAGAACCCGCCGCGTACCCTATTCACATGCATATATACACAACTAAAAAATCCGAGACTCATGCAGTTCGCATACATAATTATACATTTAGGGTAACCCGCTAGATTTGGTAGCCTCAAGGTTCAGACCCCCCAAACTCATTTTCAGCATAGGAGTAGTGGATTAGTTCGATCTCCACTGACCTCATCAATTAGCTCGCAGGGTTTCCCCCGCTACCCACCAGCGCCACGTTAAGAGTTTTAGCCGGATTTCGTTGTCAACAACATACACACCCATAATTACAAATATAAATGCAACCCAATAAATTTTAATAACATTTCATCGTGATAAGTAGTTGTATGCTTTTATTTAGTAAACTAATTATTTTTTAAATAGTGTTTGTTAATGCTGCAATTAATTTTACATGTTTCTACTTGTTATCGATAATTTTCTAATTCAGCTTTGATTTAAACACATATCAAATGAACATAGAAAGCAATTGTATAGGCCCACCATTTTGATAAATGATTGATTTTCTAAATATGAAAGATTTTCTTTTCATATATAGAATTACGTTGTGTTTCAAGAATTTAACTTTTTCGTATATTGTTCATGTACGGACAAATGAACGGGAAGTTGGTTAAAAGCTTATGACCAACAGAAGTGGTTGCTTCGTTTTATGAAAAACTATTCTAACATTTTCAAGTTTTAGAAATGAAAAATTCGACAGCAGTTGATTAACTGAAAACCTACACACACTGAAAAGACGAATGATGCATATAAACTAATCATTGACAGTTTACCCTCGAGAAATAAGACTACAGTATTTTGTCATAAAATTCGCTTCAGTTCTTATATCATTGAAAGCCATGTAGGACTGGGCAGCTGTTTTATCCAAGCATACATATGATTCTTCAGCACATTTATTTAGGTATGAAATATTCAGTTACGACAGTGTTATTAAGTAGTTCACAAAATGATCAGTCGTAAGTCAAAATCAAGTTTAATGATACAAACCATTATCTTGTTATGATTATGAACTCTATAATGATATATTAAAGTATATTCTGAATTGGTTGGAAAATTTTAAAACTCAGAAGGATGTTTTTAATAGTTTTAGATATGCTAGGATAGCTAGGTTACATTGCCAACTTTTCACTGAACACAAATGAATAGTGAAATCGACAAAAAAGTCAGTCACAATCGGTATCATGAGAATGAGCTTGTCAAATAACTGAAAAAAAGACAATTCCTTTTGAAATAGGCAGTGGAAGATTCTTAGTTAAACCATCCACTGAGCATAAATAATTATTTGTAATATCCCAATGACTAGATAAATTAGATTTTCTGACGTTTTGTGACTTAGAGTAAGCCACTTTCTCAGAGAAGAAGCAGTCTTACTGTAGAAAATCAATCTGGCTAAAACATATACAGCATTTTTTTCTTGAATCGTGGGTTTTTCAAAGTTTATTATAAGATTTTTATCCTTAAAATAGAAGTATATTGTACGTAGAGATTCATCCGTGTAATCCTAGATCGATTGCAGTTTAGATATTTATTTAATGAGGTTTTGGAACAACTCGACAACTTTCATTATTTGTGTGTATACACCTGTAAATGAACCAATGAAATATAGTATGATATGTTAAGTTTCAATCACTATATCCGACTTGAATGAAATAATTTCTGTTGAATCACGTAATTAAAACAATTTGACTTCGTACGAGTGAATATATTACATCATTTTACATTCATTCAACAATACAATCAGTTCATTCTCATTCTTAAACATTATTCTTTTTGAAATAATCCACCAAATAGCCGATAATCAGCTGTGTAAGTTATCATCGTCGACGTGGTTGGTGGGGTATTCGGTCAGCAACTGTGCTAATTGATTTTGTAGCCCGAGTTGAATGATATTCAATATAGAAAACAAAATCAAACGAAAATTAGACAAAGCCCACTTACGTTAATCAATTAAACTGAAGCTCAACCAAGTTGATTTTCTACTAGAACTTAATAATTAATGGTAGACAGAAATACTTTAAAAGTAAATAATAGTTAGTAAAACTATACTTTACTCTTGAAACATTCGAATTCCAGAAAACAATATTTATTTTTAAGTTTCATAATTGATTACTTTCTTTTCTTTTTGTTTAATTTATAGTTCATACTTTGAATAAACGTATACAATAAATCATAAAAGTTAATTTATAATTTCGTCAACTTTCATTCAATTAAGATATACATAACTTTATAGTATAAGAATATTGATTTTATAGGAGAGAAACAGATTATTAACGTGTTAAAGCATGAATGAATGGTTATATATATATATATATATATATATATATATACCAGGAAGGTTGATTGGAGAATAGTAAGATTGGAAGTCTCCAATTCTAATCCAAGTAAAAGGCCGTATTACTGACTCTATCTGGAGCTCGCGGCCATTTACGTGTTCCTCTCAGATAATCAGAATCTGCAACGATGTTGGTTTATCACAACGGCAGGAGTGTTAGAGATTTTAACCCTAAGAAACCACATTTCACCTTACCCCACATATTTCCATCGCTAACAGTAGGGACTGTAAAATGCAGAAAAAACAAAAAAAACTCAGATAATTGTCCATTAAGTTCTACAGTCACGCTACCAAATCAGCAAGAACACCCAGTTTCTTTTTCAGATCCATTAATTTGAAGTGTTTTTCCTTGGTGGAGGAAACCAGGTAGTATCAGTTACTTTCATACCTCTAACAACAATCGATGTCATCTTGACTGAATTTTATATAGCAACACTATAAGTCATAATTAGTCCGAAAATATACTACTTATCTTTATTGCTGTTCATGTATAATTTCCTTCAGACCTGAACATGTTGCAGTGTTATGGACTTGTTTATTGTTTTGGTGGATCGTATTTCTAGTATTTCGTTTCAAAGCAATTATTCATCTGCGTCCTAATTGTTCATTATGGGAAAAATGTCAATATTATGCCCCAATGATCAGTGGAGCTTTCATAGTTTTCAACCAATTATTATATAGAATAGCAGTATCAGATTACGAACAGTAAGTTTTTATCTTGGTAGTTTTTAAAAAAGTCTGTTTAATGTGTAAATATATGGATGAAACAGCTTTTAGCTTCACTTATTTACAAACAAAAGATTGTTGATGATATTTGGTGCTTCCTTATTCAGAGAGTGTAATAATCAAGATAGAACTGTTTATAATACCTTCTGATTTTAAATAGTTCTCATTTTGTCATTAGTCTGTGATATAATGTACGTTCATTGCGAATAAAGTGTTCATAAAAATTGCCATTATAAATAACTACTACATTGTTTACTAGCAACCAGCTTTGTAATAGATTTTCCAAGCTTGTAATAGTAACCTATTAATTTTGGAGTTCTACCATATCAATTATGATATAGTTATCTTCACTGAGGCTGGATAGCGACCGTCGGTAATCGCGGGTTAACTGAGGTTTGGAATGTGGACTTCTGGAACTTTACTTAGTTCAGTAGATTTTAATGTCCTGGGAGTGTTACTGTGAAGGTTTCACACATGAAGACGAAAGACTTATTCAGTACATCCTAGTTTTCATTGGTTCTCCAGGTGATATCACTTTTTTTATGCAGATAATTATCTTCGAATTCTACGAACGTTAAACGATCTATTTCACAACGTTCTTTTGTTAAATAATTACTTCCTTTAATGTAGAATGGTTTCCCACTCAGGATTATGGATAATGATCTGAAACCAAAACGTCAAGTTGAAAGTACTTTCACAGTTCGGAAGAAAATTCTATTCATGAATATTGAATCCAGGGTCAATATGTCTACAGAAATAATAAAGGCTGAAAGGTATTTTATTCAACTGGATTCCGAATAGTTTCCTGCAGTAAGAATTTACTCGAGAAGTTTCAAGGATAGAACTGCGGCTTTGGGTCACATCATTGTGTATTTATCAGTTCATTTGCCTTTGTAGAGCACGTTATATCGGCCGTACCAAGAGTGTACTCGGTAAACAAATATCCGAGCACCACCTTGCATGGCTAGCTAGAGAGGTATACAAATCAGTCAACAGTTTAATCCTTGGACAGATGATTATCTTTCAAGATTATGTATAGAATTAAAAGAACTGGCTCGAAACAGGTTTTGATGATGAATTTGCTCACACCTGACGCCATAACAGTTTTCCATTCAAAGCCTTACCTCTCTGTACAAAAGAGTCATGTTCACTTCATCCTATGGTCATAATAACCCTCCTAGTTTTGAAATTGTATACGCTAATTATTATCTTCTCCTTCGTAAAGTAGGCAGTTGTCTTGTGCACTTATTGTATAAGCTATTACCTCGCATTGATTCGGAAACTATTATACAACAGCAACAAAAGTGTAACTCGAAGTTTATAACCATCACCTGAGTAAACAATAAACTTTCAAATGTTTTTTGTCAACTTGTTAGGTATATCATCTATGATGGATATATCGAGTTTATTTTCATAAGTTATATACTGTCGTAATGGCAACAATTCAAATGTGATATTATTTGAAACTTTGCAATTTGAAAAAAGGAACTGATCACGTTTGCATGATTTCATTTACTTACTTAGGTCAATATCCACTTAACTCGAATTGTTCACAAATATTAATTTTCATCTGACAAATATTTTGAAATTAAATGTAGGATTATTACAATTAATACTGATTTATAGTGTTTTTATCCCTTAATAAATTTTTATTTGTCCTACTTTCAGTGAAGATGCTATCCAATCAGCTCGAACTGTTTACTTGTTATGCTTAATAGATGCATTTTGTTTGTATAAATCAAGAAGTATACGTTTAAATAGAAGTGCTAATCGTTTATTTGGTCAAACATCAGCGAATTCATCAAAAACATTTTGGGATTCAATTGTTCATCCGTTATCTACATTAAATATACTTGTGTGTTTACTTGGTAAACCTGTGATTACAATTTTATGGCTTAGTATATGGATTAAAGAAGCGTTAACATCCGAAATGATACAAGTAATATTTCACTATTCGGGTATTCATTCATCGCATAATACATTTCGTTATATTTTGCCATTCTGTTCATGGCTTATCTACTGGACTCAAGGTTGGGTGAGCTTTTTTCAACAAGTAAGTAATGTATATATATATATATATATATATATATATATATATATATATATATATATATATATATATATATATAATTAGATTTATTGCATATAAAGTCAACCACCATTTCATAGTATTACTGACTATTATTATAAGTATTAGCTATTTTATTTTCTCTGCTATCATACTTCTTGGTTTTGTTCCTTGAAGTAATAGTAAGTAATAACTGAAAACAGACATCATTAGCTAAAAACACAGTTGTACTCTTAGTTAAATTTTTCTCGAGATCCCGATTTGTAGTGTTGATACATACTTTTAAGTTGGTGGTGTTACGTTTTTTATATTTACACCTGCATTGTTGCTTTGCGCAAAATTACTGACGCTTACAACATATACAATACATAATGATTAAACGGTTTACGTCTTTCTATCACTGTGTTATCATTTAATTATCGACTAGGTAATTAAGTCTGATAAATTATGTTGGAATATTATGTTCGAATCCGTTGGTTCTATTTAAATGATTTTTTACATTTAAGAAATTAATTGAACTGATCAGTACACCTACATGTTACTATGTGGATTTTGAAATACAGTTTATATTTTAACTAGGCAATGAAGTGATTTTATTACTTGTGTCCATAATGATGTCTATATAAAAATTAACTGCAGTTTTTGATTTCGAAAAAGTAGTTTAACAGTAATATGTTCATCATAAAATAAGACAGTTTCCACACTTTAGAAAACTTTCAAATTAAAATAACACAGTTCTACTGATAGCTAGGAACTTACATTTTGTGATTGTTGACTAACACCATTATGGTTTGACTCCGCCTGTAGCTCTTCTAGAGATACTGCCGGTCCCAAGCCCGGTTAAAGGAGGAGGGTTGGGCATGGGGTTAGCGTCCCCATCCCGTAGAAAACTAACTCGCTAAAAAAACGCTAACCAGAAAAAATAACTCAAACCAAGTACAGTATCGAAGGAAATCTCACAATTTTCATGATTTTGACCTATACCATCTAATCACCATCTATGAAATCTTTAGTAGTAGTAGTCATCAATAGGTAACTTATGTTAGGAATAAAGCAAAATTAATCAGGCTGGATGCAATAAGGAAGACGAACATGACAGATAAGGACTTATTATACACCGAGAATAAATTCTAACAAATCACACCTAGTTTTTGGAGCGATGGAACCGAATCACTATATCACTTATGCTATACTTAAATTTTAGCCTATCATAAAGGTTCTTTCAACTTTCTTAGTATACTGTAAATACTTATATTCGAACCTGAGATTGAAGTCTTGTTCAATCAACAATGAACAAAAATTTATGGAAAGAAATACTGGAACATCACTTCAGATGACTCAATCCAATTGTTAACTTTTCATTTTTCTTAAAATATTATTTCAGGGAAATTCCTTGAGTTTTTCTACCATTGATCTATCTGCAGCGTATGTCGGTCTTCGATATCATCAACCAATAATAGCCGGTCTACTTTTAGCCTTTTACACTTACTCTGGACCATTAATATGGCAATTAGCCTATTTTTGTCGATTTGTTTTATCTAGACATAAACATTTTGGTGAAAAGTTTAATTGTCTTGTATTAGGTTTTATTGTATTACCTATTACACTATGTGGCACATTTTGTTTCTTTCTACAATCACATTTATTTATTTGGACAGTTTTTGCACCCAAAATGTTGTATTCTGCTGTATTCTATTTAACTATGGTTCCTGTTTTATGTATTTGGTCTGTGATAACGCCGTAAATGTAATTTTAAGCAAAAATTTATGAATATATGTGGTTTCATTTCATGTCTTAAATGTCCTAGTGTTTTCTGTTTTATACTTCTCTTTTCCAATCTGTTTTGATGTTGAACTCGGTCGTTTTAGGCTTAGAAATAAGACGTAAGTTAGTTTAAAGTGATAACCAAAGCAATAAGATTAAGGAAGTTGATCGTAACATGAATATAAAACCGATAACGGAAACATCGGCCTAATGTTTGTATTTATCTATTGATCCATCTGAAATTGGAATATCCATGAGTGTTTAGTTATTTATCGAAAAAGGTTACCTCTTTATAGGCTTTAGTTATATCATTGAAAGAATTATCATGTGACCAAATTTCTTAACTTAAAGTGTAGGTCACACTTCGTCGAAGTGCCAAATAAACGATGATCACAGAAACAAAAGGAGTTATCGGTGGCTCAAATGTCATAGTTTTTGGAAGCCATATTTTAAAAGTTGCTTTAACACATTAATGCAGTAGCACCTGGTCTGTTTACGATTTACACATTCAGTTATTTAATTTTATTGATTAATAAAAACTGAGGAAGTGAAATTTTCCTGACGATCACTAACAATTACTAAACGAAGATGGCTATTCCTCATCTTCCGGAGATTCTTTGACCAGTTTAATGAATGGCATCCTTCGTTAATACCGATTGTTTGTCAACTGTTATAACCTCCAGCTGCGAGCCTTGGAAATTCATTTCTTTCACTAGCGTCGGAGGATATTTCTGTCAGTGTTGTGATCTGTTTACCTCTAGGTCCCTGGTTAAACTATTTTGACGTACGTGATAAACAACCAGTGCGAATAAATACTACACCACTTCCATTAGTTGTAACAACCATTTTCACCGCCGTACATCATGGACGCACTTTTTTCATGAGAAATTTAGAGTCATTGAGTTCTGGTAACCACCATGTCTGTGATATTTCACATATCACATCCCTGTTTCCTAGTTACTTATCCAATGTACGGTGGTCCATCGAATCTAGACATGGAAATAATAGACGAATTGGCAGTAGACTATCGGACAGTTAAGCAAACCATTTCTGAATCTGTTACTGATCTGTGAACTGTGACTACAGGGGAGTTTTCCAGTGAAAATTAATGCGTAGTGGTAAAATTCATCTAACTCCATACTTTGACCGAGCTCTTGCCAGTTGAATTTAATTGTGCTTTGTATTAATTGAGTTGTGTGATTATTCACATTTGAAATCAGATCCAGTTCCCTTTTCTGGTTGATGCCTGTAAATGATGATGATTTCTTTTGGTATTTGCACTAACTGATGATTCCTTTGTAGTTGATTGTCCGCTGATCACGAATTCCAAATATGATGCCTTCATTTGTGCTCATTTATTTCTCCTTTTCTTATATTGAACTATTTCGGGAATTCTTATTTAGCACATTAAAACAAATACTTTTAATTATTGTATAGGCATCGCGATTGAGCCTGTGAATAGACAGCTGGATATACATTTAAATTGGGAATCTTTCTAGAGATTTGAAGTCTGGAGCATGACCAAGAAGAATGTTAAGGATGATAAAATTGTGGCTCACATCCATAGGAATGGATGCCTACAGCTCACCAAGTCTTCGGCATTCCCAGATATGCTTATTTCACTTCCCTCCATAACTCTTCAAGAACTTGTAGTTTGGTGTCGAGTCGCGCTTGACTATGAACACCGCTACAAGAAGACTACTTGTCAATTAGCCAATAAGATCCCCGTAGGCTAATATCAGAAGGCAGATGACGGCTGTAGTCCAGATGTATTGCGCTAATATATCACATAATTCTGATAAACTTCGTCTTCTCATTGCATTATCAAAATTTATCAAAGGGACTAACTGTTTTAAATTCCAGATGTATTTGTTGGCTATCTCGCGGTATCGAAAGAATGCCGAGATCGTGCCAAAGTAGTACAAGTTCAAAGTCGACGGGAGAGTGTGTGTAATGGCTGTCACTAGTACAGTAAAACAAACACTAGTACTTACTTACTTTCACCTGTTTCTTCTCGTGAAGGAGCATAGGCCGCTCACCAGCATTCTCCATCCAACCCTGTCCTGGGCAATCCTTTCCAGTTCTTATTCATCCCTTTCATATCCGCTTCTATTTCCCGACGTAATGTGTTCTTTGGCCTTCCTCTTTTCCGCTTCCCTTCAGGATTCCAAGTTAGCGCTTGTCTCGTAATGTAGTTTGATGATTTCCTCAATGTATGTCCTATCCATTTCCATCGTCTTTTCCTAATTTCCTCTTCAGCTGGAAGCTGGTTGGTTCTCTCCCACAAAAGGCTGTTGCTGATGGTATCCGGCCAATGGATGTTGAGTATCATGCGTAGACAGCTATTGATAAATACGTGTACCTTCTTGATGGTGGTTGTTGTAGTTCTCCAAGTTTCACCTCCGTACAGTAGAACTGCCTTGACGTTGGTATTGAATATTCTGACTTTGATATTGGTTGACAGTTGTTTTGAGTTCCATATGTTCTTCAGTTGAAGGAATGCCGCTCTAGCTTCGCCAATCCTCGCCTTGACGTCTGCATATGAACCTCCTTGTTTATCGACGATGCTTCCCACGTATGTGAAGGATTCTACATCTTCCAGAGTTTCGCCATCATGAGTGATTGGATCGCTGTTCTCCGTGTTGTGTTTGAGGACCTTGGTTTTCCCTTTGTGTATGTTGAAGCCTACTGATGAGAGACTGCTGCTATGCTGGTTGTCTTTATCTGCATTTGTTCGTGTGTATCGGATAGGAGGGCTAGGTCATCTGCGAAGTCCGAATCGCCTACTTGGTTCTGAGCTGTCCATTGTATGCCGTGTTTTCCCTCAGATGTCGAAGTCTTCATAATCCAGTCGACCACCAGAAGAAACAGGAAGGGAGAGAGTAGACAGTCTTGTCTGACTCCGGTCCTCACTTGGAATGCATCTGTCAGCTGTCCTCCATGCACTACTTTGCACTGTAGTCCGTTGTATGAGTTCCGGATAATGTTGGCAATTTTTTCAGGAACTCCGTGGTGTCGAGGAAGTTTCCATAACCTTCTCCTATCTACACTGTCAAATGCCTTCTCATAATCAATGAAGTTGATGTACAGTGATGTGTTCCACTCAATTGATTTTTCGACAATGATCCGTAGTGTCGTAATTTGGTCTGTGCACGACCGATCCTTACGGAATCCACCTTGTTGAACTCGAAGTTGAGCGTCTACTGCGTCTTTCTTCCTGTTCAGTAACACTGTTGAAGACTTTACCTGGTATTGACAGTAGTGTAATGCCTCTGTAGTTTTCACACTTGCTCAGATCTCCTTTCTTTCGAATCTCGATGAGATGTCCTTCTTTCCAGTCCATCGGCACTTGTTCCTCTTCCCAAATCTTCTTGAATAGAAGATGAAGCATGCTTGTAGTTACTTCGATGTCTGACTTCAACGCTTCAGCTGGTATATTGTCAGGTCCTGCTGCTTTCCCGCTCTTGATTTGTCTGATGGCCATTCTGATTTCTTCGGTCGTTGGTGGATTGACATCTATAGGAAGATCTGTGTGTGCTGCTTAGATGTCAGGTGGATTCATTGGAGCCGGCCTGTTCAGGAGTTCCTCGAAGTACTTTGCCCATCTGTTCCGCTGTTGTTGAATCTCAGTGATTGATCTTCCTTCTTTGTCTTTGACTGGTCTCTCTGGTTTACTGTATTTTCCTGCTAACTTCTTCGTCGTATCGTAAAGCTGTCTCATATTTCCTTCTCTTGCAGTTTTTTCCGCCGTCGTTGCTAGTTCTTCCACGTATTTTTGCTTGTCAGCTCTAATGTTCTTCTTCACTTTCTTGTTTGCTTCTATGTAATCTGCTTGTGCTTGGAATTTCTCTGCTCTTGTTCGACTATTGTTAATTGCTCTCTTCTTGTTCTTTCTTTCTTTGATCCTGTCCAGTGTTTCTATAGAGATCCATTCCTTGTGATGATGCTTCTTGGGGCCCAGAACTTCTTGACACGTTGAAGTTAATGTTTCTTTGATACCTTTCCAGCTATCCTCCATAGTAGTTTCTTCTTCCTTCAGTAGGTCCTGCAAGGCTTGGAACCTGTTGTTGAGAGCTACCTTGAATTCATTGAGTTTGTCAGTATCTCGAAGTAAGGCTGTATTGAGCCTTTGTGATGCTGTTTGTCCAGTTGTCCAGTTCTTCTTTAGCTTCAGTTTTAAATTGGCTACAACCAGATGATGATCTGAAGCTATGTCTGCTCCTCTCCTGGTTTTCACATCTTCCATTGTCCTTCGGAACTTTTTATTGATGCAAATGTGATCTATCTGGTTCTCTGTGGTGTAGTCCGGTGAGATCCATGTAGTTTTGTGTATACGTTTGTATGGAAATATTGTGCTGCCTATGACCAATTTTTTGAATGCACACATATTAACAAATATTTCCCCGTTTTCGTTCCTCTCTCCCAGTCCATGCAGTCCCATGATATCTTCATATCCGGTGTTGTCCATTCCGACTTTGACGTTTAGATCTCCCATCAGAATAGTGACGTCTTTTCTTGGGCACTTCTCTATGATTGATTGCAGCCTCTCATAGAATTGATCTTTAGTGTCGTCGTTGCTATCGTTGGTGGGTGCATAACATTGGATAATGTTCATTGTGATCCCCTCCTTCTTTGTTTTGAATGATGCTTTGATGATTCTGGATCCGTGAGATTCCCATCCTATAAGTGCATTTTGTGCTACTTTGGATAGCATTAGAGCAAATCCCTGAGTATGTGGGGCATTTTCCTCTTCGTGACCGGAGTATAGCAGCATCTCTCTGCCAAGTTGTATCTCCTCATTTCCGTTGCTATTTGACTGGTCTTCCCGGTCTCCCACATTGTTCGGACGTTCCATGTACCCAGAAAAATTGTTGCTCTGGTTGTTAGAAGGGGCATCGGCCTCATGGCTTCCGAAGGAACCCGGCCTTCACCATGAGGCGTCATATTTCTTCTAAATGAAGACTTTCTAACTTCCAGGGCAGAGTTTAAATGGTTTGAGCTATTTTTTCTGGTTGGCGTATTTCTGAGAGTTA